ACTCATGGCCTTGAAGTTAGTAAAGTAAAGTTTTGCCCATATAATGGTGATATGATAATGATGAATTTTACTATATAACGTTCATTTCTAGCCATCTAGAGGTAGGCCTACTATTAACCACGGAGGGCTGATCACACGAAATGTCCCTAGCTGTGCTGCTAACAACTGAATAGATCATGCACTTCTGGTCTTTTGCTCACACAGGTGTAGACACTGCACTAAGGGGGGGGGGGTGCGTCAGGCCAACATGGTTGGGGCTGAGGTAAGAGCATTTTGTGAATATGGACCTCTGGTGCCCGGCAATTGAACTCATGCTACGTGTTACGATAAAACGTCAGGTAGGAAACATTCTTATTAGGACTATTAGTTAAAAACAAACAACTAAACCATTTCCATTTATGATAGTTCCCAACAAGGTGTTCTTTAACACAAAAAAAAAATCATACATGTCCTCACCTTAAGCATTTTAACGACAAGACAGGATCGCCGAAAACACATTTTTTATTCAATCATGATACAATCCTTTAACCTTAACCTTATAAATTATAACAATGATAAATCAAAAGATTTTATTGACAACATGATATCTATTTATTTTTATCTTTTAATATTAAAACTCACTAGATGAATTTTACTGCAGCCCAAACCGTCATTGATAATATATTTACGAATCAGATTGACTCCGCAGGTGTTCTATTATCTGAACTTACTTACCACTTACCAATATTTAAAAAAACTAGCGTAATATAACCACATTTAAACTCTAAATCTAAAAACTGTATTGAGTAAAAAAAAAATCTTTCGAATAAAAAATCTTTCGCTTGACATTAGGAATTAATCATTTGTGAAACAAAATGATAGGCTATGTCAAGTGTGAACAGTGGCAGATTCAATGGGGAACCCAGTCAGCACGGGACCCCATCCTCCTATTTTTTTTAAATAAAAAAAAAATGGAGAAAACAGATAATATTGTATTCAATTTTTAACCCGAGTGCCATTTCCGGCCATCTAGACAGTTGTGGGGATGAGGCGGGTGGACATTCTATTTGCGCAAGACCCTCCCTGGAACCCCTCTATTTCGATTTCCTGGACCCGCCACAGTTGGAGTACGGTATCATTTCCGGGCTACATAGAAGGGTACGGTAATTTTATTCATTCGGGGGAAAGTGAAGTTTTCGTCGGAGAACCCATACCAAGGATAACCCATATCAAGGAAAACCCTCATGATAAATAATCCATTGAGGTCGTGGAAGCAATCTCGACTTTGTTCGGAAATCTGTGGCGCGTTCAAGGTGGGGGTAGGCTAAATTGTTAATTTTTTTTTTTAATAGGGATATAAGGAAAATTATATTCAAATTTTAAGTCTGAGAGTGTAAATTCCGGCCATCTAGAGGTGCCATAATCACAAATTTTCTTACCTCAGTCCCGACCATGGTGGGACTGGACTGAGGTGGTATAGATTCTCCATCTTCTGAAGTACCCAGTGGCGGATTCAAGGGGACCGAGCCGGCCCGCCCCTACCCCCCTAAATTGTTCAATAAAAAATGGAGATATAAAGATAATATACTCAAATTTTATGTCTGGAGGTGCAATTTCCGGCCATCTAGAGGTGCCATAATCAAATTTTCTTACCTCACCCCCAACCATGGTATAGATCTTCTATCTGTGAAAGTACCCTCCCTGGGCCCTTCTATTTCGAATTCCTGGATCGGCCACAAAATTACAACAAATATGAGTTCATATTACAGTAGCTTGTTGCCTATAAAATAATTTATAAAATTCACCAAACTTCACACCCACACCGGCGGCTCTTAGCGGCCCCCTGGCCCTCGGCCTAGATGCTCGCTTCGCTCGCATACTGGACCTTATGAAATCCCCCCCCCCACTTT